GTTTTCTTTCTTAGTTGTGTCTTTTGAGGCTTGGCTACCAAGGTTATCGTGACCTCTCAAAAAGAGTTTGGCAATGAAACTTCTGTTCCTATTGTGTTGAACAGTTTGAGGAGTATTGGTATTAGTTCTTCCTTGAATGTCTGGTAAAATTCTGCACTGAATCCATCTGACCCTGCGTTGTTTTTTGTTGGAAGGTTGTCGATGACTGCTTCTATTTTGTTAGGGGGTATAGGTCTATTTAATTTGTTTGTCTGTTCTTGATTTAATATTGGTAAGTGATAGTTATCCAGAAATTTGTTCATTTCCTTTGAATTTTCAAATTTTGTGGAATACAGGTTTTCTATGACCTCAAAATTGTCTGGATTTCCTCTGTGTCCATTATTATGTCCCCCTTTTCGTTTCTGATTTTGTTAATTTGCATGTTTTCTCTGCTTCTTCGTTAGTCTGGATAAAGTTTTGTCTAACTTGTTGATTTTCTTGAAAATCCAACTCTTTGTTGCATTGATTTTTTTTTTTGTACTGTTTTCCTGATTTATATTTTATTCATTTCAGCCCTCAAATTGATTATTTCCTGGTGTCTACTCCTCTGGGGTAAGTTTGCTTATTTTTGTTCTAAGTCTTTCAGTTGCGCTGTTAATTCTGTAATGTGACTATCCTCTACTTTCTTCATATGGGCACTTAGTGCAATGAACTTTCCTCACAATACTGCTTTAAGGTGTCCCATATGTTTGGGTATGATGTGTCCTCATTCTCGTTGAATTTTAGAAAGTCCTTAATTTCTTTCTTTATATCTTCTTTGACCCTTTTTTTTTTTTTTTTTTTTTTTTTTTTTTGCATATTGTTCAATTTCCATGAGTTTGTAGGGTTTCTGCAATTTCTGTTGTTGTTGAATTCCAATTTTAAAGCATGGTGGTCTGATAAGACACAGGGGACTATTCCAATTTTTTTTGTATCTGTTGAGGTTTGTTATGTTGCCTAGTATATGTGGTTGATTTCAGAGAAAGTTCCATGTGGAGGAGAGAAGAAGGTATATTCTTTTGTGTTTGGATGGAATATTCTATAGATGTCTGTTAAACCAGTAGAGACATACCTTCTATTAGTTTTTTTGTTTCTTTGTTGAGTTCTGACTGGTAGTCCTGTCTAGTAGTGAGAGTGTTGTGTTGAAGTCTCCCACTATGAATATGTGAGGTTTTACGTGTGGTTTGAGTTTTAGTTGTGTTTCTTTTACGATTGTGGGTGCCTTTGTATTTGGTGCATAGACGTTCAGAATTGAGATTTTGTGTTGATGGATTTCTCCTGCAATGAATACGAAATGACCGTCTTCATCTATTTTGATGAATTTTGGTTTGAAGTCTAAATTGATAGCTATTAGGATAGCTTCTTTCTTCTTGCTTCTTTCTTCTTAGGTCCATTTGATTGGAAGATCTTTTCCCAGTTCTTTATCCTGAGGTGATGTCTATCTTTGAAGCTTAGATGTGTTTCTTGGATGGATTCTGTCTTCGTATCCATTCTGATAGCGTGTGTCTTTTTATAGGCGAGTTAAGACCATTACTGTTGATGGAGAATAAGGACCATTGATTATAAATGCTTGTATGCTTTGGATTTGTTGGCAGTGGTATTGTGAATATATTTGCCCTGCTTTATTTACCCTTGGGTTCTGGTGAAGTGGGATTATCTGTTTCCTACATCTTTGTGAGTGTAGTTAACTTCCTAGGGTTGGAGTTTTCCTTCTAGAACTTTCTGTAGGGCTGGATCTGTAAATAGGCATTGTGAAAATCTGGCTTTGTCATTGAATATCTTGTTTTCTCCATCTATAATGATTGAGAGTTTTGCTGGGTATAGTAGCCTGGGCTGGCATCTGTGAACTCTTAGTACTTGTAGAATATCTATTCAGGACCTAGGGTTTCCATGAAGAAGTCAGGTATAATTTTAATAGGTCTGCCTTTATATGTTACCTGTCCTTTTTCCTTTGCTGTTCTTAATAGTTTTTCTTTATTCTGTATGCTAGGTGTTTTATTATATGTTGAGAGGTCTTTTTTCTTTTGTCCAGTCTATTTGGTGTTCAGAATGCTTCTTGTACTTTCATGGTCATGTCCTTCTTCAGATTGGGAAAGTTCCTCGATGATTTTGTTGAATATGTTTTTTGGCACCTTTGAGGTGGGCTTCCTCACCTTCCTCTATGCCTATTATTCTTAGGTTTGGACTTTATATGGTATCCTACATTTCCTGGATGTTTTGTGTTAAGGATTTGTTGGATTTATAATTTCTTTTGGTCGATGAATCTATTTCCTTTAGTCTATCTTCAGTGTCTGAGATTCTCTTTTCCAGCTCTTGAATTAAGTTGGTTATGCTTGCATCTGTAGTTCCTGATCATTTGCCCAGTTTTTCTATTTCCAGCATTCCTTCAGTTTGTGTTTTCTTTATTGTCTCTAATCAGTTTTCAAGTCTTGAACCTTTTCCTTCACTTGTTTAATGTTTTTTCCTTGTCTTTCTGTACTTTACTTTCAGAGATTTGTTCATTTCTTCCACTTTTTTTGGTTTTTTCTTCCATTTCTTTAAGGGATTTTCTCACATCTTCTTTGAGGGCCTCTATCATTTTTATGATGGTAATTTTTAAGTCATTCTCTTCTGCTTCATCTGCTTTATTGTTTTCCAGTCTAGTTGGTGTCGATTCCATAGATTTTGGTTGGTGTTGCTGTTAGGTGTTTTCTTATATTGCAGGCTTCTAATAAGTTCTTCCAGTAGGTGTTGGTGGGGTCTCCCCTCTTTCTATGGTACTTCCCAGGTGGGTCAGAGGTTCGATGTCGGTAGCTCTGGGTGTCAAATATCAGGCTTCAGCAGAAGACTGGCGATGGGAGTCAAAGATCTCGAAGGCTGGGACTCAGGATGTTCCTTGAGCTGATAGGCAGATCTAGCCTGAGCCTGGCACTCTCCAGCTGAGGCCTCTTTGGCAGAGGCCCTGTCATGGGGGTCAAGGATCTAGCCCGCAGGAACTCTGAGAGGCCCTCTAGACAAGGCTTGGCGATGGGGGACAAAGACTGGGCTGATACTAAGGATGTTTTTGCACAGATAGGCGGGTCTAGCTGGGACTTGGCCCTCTCCAGCTGAGGCATCTTTAGCAGAGGTTCTGTGATGGGGCTCCAGTAAGAGTTTTATTAAATATTTTTTGGAGAGAGTCTCACTGTGTAGCTCTCACTGGCCTTGAACTCAGAGATTAACCTGCCTCCCAAATGCTGAGATTTCAGGTGTGTACCACTCTGTGCGTCTGTATGTGAATGTTCTTTTGCATACAAGTTTATATACTGTGCTTTCTCTGTCTCTGTCTCTGTCTCTGTCTCTCTCTCTCTCTCTCTCTCTCTCTGTGTGTGTGTGTGTGTGTGTGTGTGTGTGTGTGTGTGCAGATGCTCAGGCGCAACTTTGGGTTTCATCCTCAAATCATGGAAATTCTTTGAGACAGGGTCGTTCCCTGCCTTAGGTGGGGACCACCAATGCCCAGGTGTCTTCATGTCTTTGCTTCTTAGTTCTTGGATTACAGGTGCAGACCATGATGTCCAAGGTTTTTTGTTTGTGTGTTTTGTTTTTATTTGTAAGTTCTGGAATTGAAATCATGTCTTCAAGCTTGTAGCTAAGCACTCTATTAACTTATTTCTCTCTCTATTTCCCTAAAACATTAATTTTAAGTTTAGTAAACAATATTCATTTTAGATGAGTGAATCTTTAAAAGATTATCTTCCCTTTTATACAATGTAATGATTTTTAAAGCAGTGTAGATGTCTGAAAATGTGCTTTGTGTTGAAAATCGTCTGAAAATGTGCTTTGTGTTGAAAATCCTATTTTCAAGTGTTACTCATTGTGTGATCATTGTACCCTGGGTTCCTAGGAAGAAAAGGATAGTTGCCTGAGTTCAAGGTTACTAAGTAAATACCAAGATTCAACAGTCAGAAAAATCAGCATGATAAAGTGTAATATTTCCTCAGTGTTAAAGTACTTTATTAAAGCAAAATTATTGCAGCTGAGGGATTTGTTTTTGAAATTTAAGAGACATGTGACCTGTCCAAGATGAATACTATTAGAACCCAACTATACATGGATATTTAAACATTGTATAATAGGAAAGTTATGGATTAAAGTTGCTGTATGACATGCATTGGAACCTCAGTCATATTTTTTTAAGACTGTGAAGTCATTTGAACAGTATATTAAATAAGTTTTCACCTAGGAAGACTGATGCATTAACTGTCATGTTGTTTCATAGAAATATTAAACCTAGGCTGAAGATGTAGCTCACTGGGTAGGATACTCACATACAAGAGGCTTTGAGTTCAATTGCTGATGTGGACAAAAAAAAATCTCTAAACTTAAGTCTCATATTAGGTGTGTATTTTCCCAAAGAGGTCTGGGGATTAGAAATGTTAATATGGTTGTCTGTAGCTCATATAATTTCAGGTCTATGCATGACAATTGTTAACAATCCATTCATTTCAAGCACTTATGGGCATCAGCCATATGCTGTGTTGATAAAGTTAATTCTTTATGACAATTGTTGCTAAGCCAAAATTTCTTCAGTTATTTTGAATTTAAAATTAATCACTGTTACCAGCATAAATAGTGGGAAGAAGTTGTATAATTTTTAAAACAGCATTTAGTATCATTTGCTTTTAATAAACTCATAAAAGTAATGTAAACAAGGGCACATTTAATTGCATAGGAATATTACTACATAAACATATGTCAAAATTAGTATTATAACATTTTAACAGTTTACATTATTAAAATCACATGAGACTGAAATGAGTTTGACTGGGGTATCTGCAATATAATGGGGTATCTGCAATATAACTAATAACATTTTCAAATCATTATAAGAAGCAGAAGATATTTGTTGTTAACTTCAAAATATTTATAAAGACGATGCTTATACTTGGAAGTGGTGGCCAGAAGTTTGCTCACAGGACTTTGTTACATGCCTACTGTGTTTCTGTCATGAAACTGAAACTTACCTTCCTGACTCAAAGGTGAACCACGTTGAATCCCGACCGTATCTTCTTAGTGAGCTAAGAGGCCACATCACCAGCTTGACTTTGGCATTGTGGATATCCCAGAGATAGATATTCTCATGAGTGATCTGCATTGTGCATTCACCATAAATATCCAGGTTGGGTGTAGGCATAAGATAAACATTGAATCGTTCTACAAAGAAAGAAAAAGCATGGGGAAAATCATGAAGAGTTCTCACAGTCCTGGGCAACATTGATATACACTTCAAAATACTACCCCTCTTCATTTTTTTGAAGAAAGAAGTTCACTAAGCTATCATCACTTATTTTTTCACTCTGTCATTGCACAATATTATTGTATTGTAGCACATGCTCTACAGTGAGGATTGAACAATGGTTAAACTATACCTCACATGCTCTATACATGTGAGGGTTTCACAATGGCCAAGCTATACCAATGAAACATTAGAGTAAAAGCTAAGTAGAGTCTCTTTCCATATGAGGCTTATTCTGCTTCTTCATACAAGCTAAGTAGAGTCTCTTTCCATATGAGGCTTATTCTGCTTCTTCATACAGTCAATTGGTTACCACAAACACATTTCAAGAAATGTCTTATTTATTCATTTATTTCATTTCAAGAAATGTCTTATTTATTCATTTATTTATTTAAGGATAAATACTGAATCAGTCTTACCTTTGTAACCTGAAGTATATAATGTACAATCAGAGTGACTTCCCTAACTACTAATCTAGTGTACATGTAAAAACAATATAGTTAGGGTCAGAGTTGGCATACAGTAATTGTATTCATTACAGCCTTCTACAAAACTGGAGACACTCTGGTATATTTTATAGTTGAAAATCCTATTTTTAGGCAGAAACTCTAAAACTTGCTTTGTATTTTTTCTGTGCATCTCCAAAGCTATTGCAAAGTTCTGCAGCCTTTGATTCCCATTTAAATGCATTGAATGCACTTTCAGAAACAAGGATTAAGTTCCAGAAAGTAAAGAACTTACAAAGTATTGTATGAAATAAGTGTGCTTCCTAGCACCATTTCCTCTGTTTATAGTAGAGGATCTATATCTATCTGTGAAGACATAATGAATAAAGAAAAATAAATAATAAAGGATGTGAAAATTGAGGCATTATGAAAAAAATAACATCATGATAAGTTTGAGAATTGATGGCAGAAAGGTTTCTCTACATTTTAACTTAATTGTGGAGAGTGCTGAAGAGGCAGTGTGGTTGAATTAATTATTTTGAAAAGCACACGGAGGCAGCTGCAGTTAGAAGATATATTTTGGAATGTTTTCCTATCCATCATAATGCCTTGTTCTTAAATACTGAATGCTTGCTGGTGCTCAGTGGGAATTGTCTGTATAATAAGAATCATTCTGACAGGTATTTTCACCAAGTAAGAACTCTGTGAGTCAAAGAATAATATTCAGATTCCAAGTGGGTTAAATTAACTGAAGTATGAAGGCTTGGACATTGATAGTCATATAGTTTTACATTTATATTCAGTTCTAGATAATGTTTTCATTTTTAACTTTGGTTATTGAACCATGGAACGAAGATATATATGGATTTCACATTCATTTCCAAGGAAATAGCAATGGAGATCAATGTTATAGCGGAAACGAAGAACATTGCCCATTAGTTATCTAAAATGAAAGAGTACAAATATGTACTCACACATGCAACACTTAAAGAATAGACATTTAGTATTACATCAGTCAAAAATAACCATATTTCTCCTAGTAGTGGTATTATAAATAATAAATCAAATACCAAAAGAATTAAAAAGGAAACCAATTATTTTCAGTGATAATTATATGACAAACAAAATTCTACAGTAGTCAATGCTGATGAATGTAGGAAAAAAGGATTCTTAAGTTAAATAATAATTTTCAATATGCTTTTCCTGAAAACTATAGAATTTAATAAATATCCCCAAAATATCATCTATAAATCTACATTTTGGTGAAATTTAGAGTTATATATTTGCTGGAATATAAGAACACACAATTTTATTTGAAATGTCCAAATAAGAAACAAAACTAGTTTATCTAACAAAGATGTAATAAAATCTAATATTTAAATATAATTACCAGGTATTTTGCACAATGAACACAAGAGATCCAAAAAACAAGCAAACAAAACCCAGCCATGGCCAACCATGTTTTTAAACAGGGGTAAGGTAGCAAGGCTGCTACTTTAGTAATGGTGCAGTAGATATTATAAAATGGATGTAATCAAATGGTTTTGGCCTGATGATGGTAGTTGGGGATGAAGGATCCCAGTCAGACTATTTAACAGACCGTGTTGTTGGTTCACAAAAGGATGTGGGGCCATCAATTTGAGTGTTGTTGACTACCATGAGTCACATTTTTATGAAAACTGACTCTCCTTTCTCCTTAAACTCTTCTGTTACGAGGACCATGAATCCCTTTTTCCTCCATGGTAAAATGTACTTGGTCTTACACAGTTATTGTATGGACAATGATAGCTGATGTGAGTTGATTAGTGGAGTTGTTATCTCTTGTCTCAAAAATGCCATTTTATGTCAGTCATTCTGAACATCTAGGTCTTAAATTCCTGGTCCTTGGGGAGGGGATGCGATACAGATGCTCCATTGTGGCTATGTACTACACAGTCACCCACTGATCTTTAGCCAGTTGTGAGTTTCTACATTAAACACCATCTACTTCCAATGAAATTTCTTTGAGGTCTGAGAGATACACTATATGCCAGTAGACAGATGTAAATTTGGAGGGTAGTTTGACACCATGTCCAAAGACATCACTGGTCTTCGTTTTACCTCTTACCCTTCATATGGTACCATGAAATTTTCATTTTTTGTAAGAGATAAAAACACAGGCAGAAAATGTTAATAGACCAGAAAATAGACAGATAATGGGGTTCAAGCTGATGATCAGAGAAGCAAAGCAGCCAAACCATCTCTTCCAAGGCTGCGGCAATCCTGTCTTCAATGTGGCTGGAGACTAACTGCCTAAGACTGAATGTCCAATGCCTTGAGACTTAATGCCAGCTCTGAGACCATGCTCCTGTCTTTTTATACCTCTTTAGTGCTGGAATGAAAAGCGTGAGCTCTGTTTCTCTTTTAGACTAATTCACTTTATGTATACCTGGGTGGCCTCGAACTCAAGAGATTCATCTGCCCCTGTCTTCTGACTCTTGGGATTAAAGGTGTGTGTCTGGCCTCTATGGCGGTGGCTAACTTTGCATTCTGATCTCTAGGCAAGCTTTATTAGATCATAAACAATATATCACCACAGATTGCTGGTAACTTTTATCTACTCTATGCCATTAATCCCTCCTCTTCAGAAATGGTAGACTTGCATATGATGAAATGTAGTATTAAGTATCCTACAAATCTAGAAGCCAGGAGATGTATGCATGTTAAAATCATTAGTTAAATATAGCAATAATTTTTATCAGTGGAACTCCTTATATTGATATGATCTCTTTCTCTTATATTTCTGAGTACTACTTAAATTGTAAGCCACACAAAATAAGGCACTGCTGATGGGAGATCTCATACTGGTTAATGAATAAAACACTCTTGGCCAATAGGAAAGCAAGATAAGCGGGACTAAGAGACAAGGAGGATTCAAGGAAGTACTAAGCAGGAGTTACATGGAAAGATGGAGGAGAGCAGACTCTCCGGTAAGATGAGACCATGTGGAAATACTTAGATTAATAAAAATGGGTTAATACTTAAGACAGAGCTAGCTGATAAGAAACTAGTACCTGGCCAACAGTATTATATCAAATACAGCATCTCAGTGTGTTATCTGGGGCAGGCGTGGCGGCGGGTCTAGGCAGCAGGGAAAAACCTTACTCGTACACACTGCTTTGCATTAAGTTTTATCTGTAGTGTCCGTTCTACCTATTTGTCTGAATTTCAGTTCCATAGCTTCCCATAGCAAAAGGAACACCCTCATTTATTTTTAAGAAATTATTTTAAAGAAATTTTTAAGAAATTTCATTAATAAACAAAAATAAGAATTATGTACATTTATATTAATAAATTAAGAAATAACTAATTATGACCATGTAACCTTATTAGTTGATTTTGGTTTTTCCATATTTTTTTCTAATAACCTGTGATTATATGAAGTAAAACTCACTATTGGTATATCTCTTATTAAAATACCTCTAAAGAATTAACTAAGATTATTTATAAAAGACAGCATGTAAGTTAAATTTATTCCTGTAATTAGTTGAAAAATAGATGCAGACTGAGCATATTGTATTTAAAAACCAGTTTATTTTCTCCTGACACTGCTCCAGAGCAACTGTTATTATCTTCTTCTTATGCCTGATGTTACCTGCAGGACAAGCTCATTTCTTAGTTCATTGTCAGCCATGAGTATAAATTCATCTGCATGCCACTAATGACTCAGACACTGTGATCTGGATTTAACAGCTCACCCTCCTTTCTCCCAGGGGAAGTCAATGGCTTGGGACACAACGAAGAGCCATTCTCATTTGCTCTGACATCTTATTTCTTCTATAACTTCCTTTGGTGGGGGTGTCTGTCTCAGGAAAGGGAATAGGAAGAAAAAAAAAGTGGGGGTGGAGGTCTCCTTACTAATTAGCTAAAACTATTTTACTTCTGCATTGCTGTATGCCTAATGATGAGCAATTCAGGACATGACTGTCTTTTGGAGGGTGAGTAGAGCATTTCAGAGAATCATCACAACATCAGATCCTACAGGGTAGTATACTCTACTGGGTAGTATACTCATTTGCATACAGATTCTATCCTCCTGAAATGTTCTCTTGCTCTTTGCATAGCTAGGAAAGTGTCCTGGTGTGGATCATGTCGAGATGAATCAAGGTGGGCTAACAATAAGTATCTACTTATTTTCCAAGAAAATTCATGCATTGTTGATATGATCAGTGTAGAGATGTAGTTCACTTGCTGATCAGCATCCGTGTACTTGACTATCATGAAAAGCAGGATCTTCTTTTAAACCACAGACCTAGGATCCATTTCAGGCTGGCAGGAAACTGCTTAGAACACTCATGTTTGTCAAAACTTATAGAACTCTTTAGAAAATATGATTCCATCCTTTACCCAAACTAGGAATTATTTTATTGTATCCTGGCTATAAATTGCATATCCTGTTGACATCAACTCAATGCACAGGTCTCTGTGAATGGGATTACAGGAATACATGCAATTCTTTAATCATTAGCACATAAATTTCCTATTGAATTTCTAGTGCCTCAGTAATTTCTAAATTTTGCAAAACCTGACTGCTGATAGAATTTTCCAAGTAAATCAAGTTTATTTTAATAACTATGGAAAATATTTTTAAAATAAATAATCCAGTAATTTTTATTATAAAAGTAATTAATCCTCATTAGAGTGCACATCAATATGTAAACATACTCATACAAATTGTTATTATTTAGCATATAAAATATTTAACATTATGTCATACTTTTTATAGTATATGCACTTTCAGATGCTATTATTCCCTGAGCATAAAATTCATATTAAATATAATGTTTCACTCTATGGCTATGCTTTAACCTATGTGATAATTATCCACCTGAAAATTATCCACCTGAAAAGTACTGAAGTTAAACCAACTTTTTCTAATACATAATTAACCCACAATAATATAACTTGTTTTGTTTCACTGATACAATTTGTGTATAAGGTGTAAACAGTTTTAAACATCCTTGATTATTACATGGATAAGACACTACTGAATCACTGGGCTAAATGGTGAAAACTTTTTCAAGAACTGCTTGATAGCAGAACTCCAAATCCATTTACTCCAAATCCATTTACTTATGTATAGTTTTAAATGTCTTGAATAGGCTAATTAAAAAAGATGTATTGTTTCTTTTGTTGATCTTGGGGTTCTTATATGAGGTCCTTTCATTATCATGTTTATAGTAAATATTTTCCTTAAGTTTTCCCATGTTATTTAATTAAAGAAGGTAGGAAATAATTTTAACGTCACTACTTTTTTATATTTTGGAAGAGTGCTCCTTATTGTGACATATCAATGGAATGTTTATATCTTTTGCTTTTGACAATGATACACTGGGGCACAGATTATTCCAGTCACCTCGGGACATTCATTCTCTTCTACCATGTTCTAGTTATTCACCACTCAGAAGCAAGCACAGCTCTGGTTTTTAACACTTGGGATATTTTTGCCTATAATAGTAGGCTCTTGTGAATTGGCAGAAACCAGCTTCAGCAGAGTGCTAATTTCCTCCATCTGTGAATTTCTTTTATTATTTTACCTAAAAATATTATGGTGATTTTGGCATTCATAAATTTGAGTTTTTGATGTATTCTGGCTGATTTCTTGTTATAGTTTGTGCTTTAGTCTTTAAGAAAGAGTTGTCTTTAATTTCACTCATTAAATGAATTATTTAGCACACACTACAGACTCAGATTCTGTTGTGTGACAAAACTTTTCCTAGTGAGATGCAACATAGGTCTGCTCATCCCAGATAGGGAGGGATCCCATGATAGACCAAAGTATGGAGAACACTAAATTCCAACTTGGGGAATCAAAGAGTTTTATCACAGTTACTTACAGGAGAAGAAGTCACTGAAAAGGCAGCTATATCACCCCAGCATAGTTAGGAGGACTGAGCAGTTCATGGGCCTCCTGGTAGTAGATCAGTATTTATCCCTAATATATGAAAGGACTTTGGAATCCCATTTTAAATAGGGGGATATTCTCTCAGCCTAGACATTAGGGGAGGGACTAGGACCTGCTCCAAATGATGTGACAGACTTTGAAGATTGCACACAGAAGGCCTCTCTTTCCCTGGGAAGCAGAAAGGGGATGGGATAAGGGGTTGGGGGCAGGAGGAAGCTGGGATTGACTTTGTAAAAACCATCCAAAAGAGGCAACATTCTGGCATATAAATAAATGTTTTTGATCAATCAGCAAGAAATGATTTGGTTCTAATTTCAGTTGCAAAGAAAATAAAGTCTTTTAAGAGACTACAAGATAATGATTCTTGTTACCAACATTGGGCTCAGTAGCAACAACTTTACAATCACCCAGGGCTATCATGACATGCTTTGACCAGTGCTATTGATTTATATAATACTGATAACCCCTCAAATTCTTTTAAAAAGCATGGCCAAGTTTTATACTAATTGAACATCACAGATTTTCTACTTTAGATTTGTTGCTTGTGATGATAATTTTGTAGTTAGATAAAATGGGCTGATGATTAATTAAAATTTACTACAAATATAACCTAAACCATCACATTGAACAAAATATTACTAGATGACTGGTTGTTAGTATTACTAATCAAGACTATGATGATATTGCACACATACCTGTGAAATTAAATAGCATTGTATTAGTTAAACACATTAACTACCTTCCCACTAGTAGAAATACTAGTCAAATACTCTAAAGGATTTAATTTCCAGATAAGCCAAATTCATGATATATAATCTATATTAGACTAAAGATTATAAAACTGTTATTCATGAAAATGCCATAAGTATAAAATACAGTAACTAAGTTTTTAGACACTAATAATAAGCCAGAAACCTGGGTCGAACAACAGAATTTTCTCTAGTTAATACACCACTAAATTTTTTTTAAAAAAAGTAAATAAATAAAATTTTCTTAATAACCCATTGATAGTTTGCTTTCCTTTTGCAATATTTTTAGTAATTCTCCAAGAATCCCATATACTGTATTTTGATTATATTCACTTCCCTCGCCTGACTCTCCCCAGATTCACCTTGCTTCTATAATCACCAAACTTTGTATCCTCATTTATTTGTATCCTCGTTTATTTTTATAACCCATCCACCATTTCCATTGTTTTCAACTTGTTCTGCTCATATACTTTTGGATGTGTGGCTTCCACAGGAATTTGCTCATAACCATCAGTCACATTGTTATAGACAATACATTCTTCAAAGCATGAATACTCAAACTTCTGAGTTTCTCTGCAGTGTAAGCCCACCTGGCATAATAGAAAAGTAGGCAGTCACTCACCATTCTGTTCTCGCTGCACCCCAGCTGCCAGTAGGTCAGGCTCCCCTAGACTGATGTCATTCAGCCTTGTCCCCAGGCATTCCATGCAAAGATGTTTGCACCATTCCTCAGCCTCCAGCTCTGAAAGTGAGTGAGCACACATGTCAGGACAGGGGAAATGTAGTGGGAGAATGCTTCCAGAACTTCCCCTTAGAAGCTGGTAGGACTTGAGAAAAAATAGCTATAATGAGGAAACAGGCAAATTTTCCACAATTATTTCTATTATTATTATTATTATTATTATTATTATTATTATTATTATTGTGTGTGTCCAACAAACCAAAAGAGGCATCAGAGCTCCTGATGCTATAGTTATAGGCGATTGTAAACTGCATAATGTACATGCTAAAAATTGAACTTAGGTCTTCTGAAAAAGCAGCATGTGTTCTTAACCACTGTGTCATTTTTCTGACTTAGCAGTTGTGATGGATTTATTTATATTAATATCTTCTAAACCATAAGACAAAATAAATAAGTCATCCCTTTCAGTAAGATTTGTTATATGACAAAAATGATCAACATACTCTACAAAGTATCTTTCCAATCAATAAATCACTCATTATTATTGTCTAGATTACCTCTCAATTTTATTGTATTCAAGAACTTTTTCTTTTCTAGAAATACCAAAGAATGTCTTACATACCCAGATTCCCATAGTACGAAAGCTCTTGGGCTTGAACTACTAAATTTCTAATATGAGGTCACTGTAGATGAGGGTACAGTATAATAACAGAATAGGAACCAAGTAACCAAGCTACTTTGCTGATTTTTTGTTAAGATATAAAGTTTAATATTTAGGGGAAATCATCAATATCATAATAGGAAAACTGGGCTTAAACTTTTGCCTTGGCAACTGCTCAGGGAAATTTCTGACTTTTCTATGCCGCATAAATCTGTACTAGAACTATATAATATAGATTTCCATCAATCTGCACTAGAACTATATAATATAGATTTCCATCAAATCTCTTGCTCTTTGTGGATGACATTACAACCTTTGCTTTGACATTTTAAGCTCCCCATAAAAAGTTATCTGTGACAGGTTTTCTTGACTTCAGGGATTTTAATATCAAGTTCTTTCCTACCATCAGGCCAGCTCTAGTAAGGTCAAATGATTTTTCCCTCCTGAATTTGGTCACACTGCCTTAACATCAAATAGGCTTGATAAACATGGTGTCATGACAGAATTGCTGCTGCTTCTTAGTTTTATGTAGATCACAACATTCACTAGAACACACAGCAAAAAAGATACAATGGCCCTGACATTCTAATTATGGTTGGCATTATCACTACCTCTGATGCTATTAAGATATTTTAGCATTTATGACTTTGTTTTGTATCTGTCCTGCTCATCTATGCATGTAGGTATGCTAGCCAATTTTTATAGAATATTTATTAGAAACTGATAATGTCAACTAAAGTCTCAAAAATTGTAGGGATGGTCAAGCATCCTTTTCATGACCTGAAACCTGCAGTCACATTGGATTCTAGGAACAAGGAAATTTATAAGCAGGTGGCTTCCTTATGAAACTGCTCTTTCTAAGCAGAAACAACTTAGTAGAACAATAGCCCAGTAATGAGAACAGTTGCCCCATATTGGGAACACCTGCCCCATGATGGGAGCAGAGCCTGCTCTACCATGCAAGAGCAATAATTTCAAGATGGAATCTGGCTTGTTTTTTTAAACAATGATTCTTAAAGTCCCCTCATATAACTGAAAAAAAAAAGGTTCAACCAGACCATAGTGTGAACAAACTAGTACTTATGAATAACCCTGCTTAAGTTTATCCTTTGTTTAGTCCAATATTTATACCACTTGTCCCCAATCAGACATAAAGATTATTGTTCTGTTATCTTGTATGATCATATTGAATGTTAAATTTCTTTCTTACCTCCAACATTGCTGTTTTCCTTTTCTTTTTGAGAGTGAGTTGCTGGACATGATTTATTGGGACCTCCCTATCCTCACAATTGAGGTTCTGGACTGGGGCTTTAATAACTCACTTAAGTGATGTGAGTTGCACCACAACCTAAACCACTTCTTCCCAGCAAGTGCCCTCCCTACTTTCAACTCTTGTGAACACGTGACCTACTGAGTTTAAATGGTGATCCTGCATAAGCTTTAATGGGAGGTTATTTCCCAGACCATGTACAATTTGAGTGTGGTTACACCACTGAAAAAATAAGCACCCCTTATTCCAAATAAAGCAGCTGTTTTTATGCCTATTAGTTTAATTTGTTTTTTCTATAATTAGTATTTTTTTGTGAACTGTTTCATAAGAATCCATGACCTCTTCTAAACTAGGAAAATACTTTACAATTAGGCTATACTCTGTGCTACTGTGTGTGTATATACACATATATATATCATTGTTTTTCTTCCTTATAAAGCTGTGGTTCCCTACAAATAGAAGTTCTATAGACCTATTGCCTTTTATCATTTGTTTTACACCTCAAACTTCTTAGTCTACACAGAATGTGAAAATAATTAAATTCCTTTGTGGATGAAGAGGCAGTAAATGTTCCGTAAAGTTTTCCATATTTTTCTCTTCATGAAAGTAGTATTATTTTCATTAAGCACCTTTAACCCACTGGCATGTTGCTGAGATTTGTCTCTGAACTCTATACTAGAAACTCAAATATTTCAATATGTCTAAGATTAAGTTAAGAAAGTTGGCAATTTTCAAACTGAAAATGGAAAGGTACATGGGAACAGCAAGATAAATGGACCTTGGTGAAGTTTGTGAAAAATGGGTTTGTTTATGCAGGGGCTTCTGCAAATGAATGAAAAGGAGAAAGTAATCAATCTGAGAATCAGCATTCATCTTTCTCAACTTAAAAAAGATGTAGATGCGATGTGACTAGTTTTTGCTGTCATTTCTCCCCCATTCCCTGCCATGGTGGATTGTGTGCATCTTAAACTGTAGCTACCAATGTTCTTGATTACTTCCAAGATGATATTAAGACCCTACTTCTGAAGACATTACACACCTGAGTCAAAATAGAACAAGGAAAACTCAAGCTAGTACTGACCTGGAAGCTTCATCTCTATTGACTATTTTATAGCCCTGGAAGGGGATATACATGCTGTCTAAGAGAATCTTAATCATCAGTCTTATTGAGGCATTATCCCGGTTAACTACAATAACAACTGCTCTGGCAAGACATGCTCATTGGTACAATAATATCATGAACTTTCTGCCTGGATTTCCGTTCTGGTCCATAAGATGAAACTCATACCCAGAACCCTTATGAGGTAGGAACCCATAGCTAATTTGAGGATTTGTACAAAAAGATGCTTATTCCTTGCTCCTCACCTTGCTAGACATGTGCCAGCTTCGAGCCTCTTTCTGAGTTTCTCATTGTCGGACAAATTTCAAGGTGCAGTCTCTGGCTCAAAGTCAACAAGGTGAGAGAAAAAGAAATGAAGCCTTGGTATGTTGGTAGGGTGTTCTCAACTTTCCATTTTGTACTTCTTTATGTTTGCCTTACCATTATAATTCATATATTTTTGGTTTGCAGTAAAATCATCTGGACATGTGTTATAGTAGATTGGGGACCCTGTCCTTTGAGATTCTGATTTAGAAACTATTGATTCTGGGAATCTGCTATAAACTTCCCAAGTATACTGATGTTGCCACAGCAAAGACCACACTCAGTCCTTGGTGCTGTAAATTGCATTTTCTTAATATCCCCCTCCCACATATAAGAATAAATACAACATGTATACTTATTTCTTCTCATCTTTATATTGTAATTTTACTATCAGAATTCTATTTATGCATATACTAGATCTGCTTTATATTTAATTGATTAATTTGATTTGCAGCACTGATGCTGGAGCTCAAGGGTTCATATAGTCTAGGGAAATACTATGCCTGTGTGGCCACATCCCTTGACCCTAAATATAGTTGAAAGACTTAACTACTGTTCTTAGCACTTTATATCGATGTTACTTTAATTAATGTTATACCATGTACCAGTGATTTGTACATTTTGTTTTTATTCAAAGATGTGGAAACTGAGGTACAGAGGGGGAGGATCATGTGTTGTTGGTTACACACCACACCTGGGTCATTAGCTGTACTCTAATTACTTTCCTGTTTTGCCTCATCAGTTGAGAAGATAGGGTATATGTAGACATTGTGCATGCTTAGTAGTGTGATGTATACTAGAATTATAACATTGTGAGGAGCTGATTCATTACATATTACTAATATGCTAAGTACAATTTTTTAAACATAGTATAGTACTGATTTTTATTGTTTCATTTTTTGTATGTATGCTAGAGAACATTCCATATTAATATCATAACAAAGTTTTAAAATATATGATTTGATATCTCAACATTTCAATGATCAAGGTCTGGATAAGATGTTATATCAAAAAGAACCATCAATTAAGTAGCAGTAACATTTAGTTATATCAAAAAGAACCATCAATTAAGTAGCAGTAACATTTAGATATAAAAAATAAAACATCAAGCATTAGCAAAAGAGTAATAAAGCAGTTGGAAGACAATTTGAGAATATCAATATTTTACTGATTAGACTAAGATGCTAAAAATAGATAAATTGTTAGACTCTTTGTCATTATAGTTCAACATACAGTTAGTAGGAAGTTGGGAGATGTCACTCTGTAAATATGTTTATTTCTCGTATTTGTTAATGAATAAAGCACTGATGCCCATAGGAAAGCAAGGCAGGACTAGGACACAAAGAGGAGAGAGGAAGTAGTGAGGAGTTTCAAGATGGAGGAGAGAGAGAAGGAAGCCAGCCCCTCTCTCCGGTAAGATGAGACCACATGGAAGTACTTAGATGAATAGAAATGGGTTAATATTTAAGACAGAGCTAGACAATAAGAAATGATAGTAACTGGCCAACAGCATTATATCAAATAAAATGTCTCTGTGTGTTATTTGGAGCTGACGCAGCACTGGGATCACACCGGTGGCGCGAAAAACCTTAGTCTTAATAGTAGGATAAGTTTCTGAATTATCAGACTGAAAAAGGAACAGAATTACCCAGTAAATACTACTGAAGTGGAGGAATCAAGTCAATTTCCAGAGCAACAAAAATATC